TACTAGTTGGATTAAAATGTGTCTTTGTTTGAAAGTAAAACCAGAAGGAACACGAAACGCAAGCAGTAAAAATGTGCCATGTGAACAAGCGGCAACAAGTCTGTCAGCTGAAATTGTGGTCAGATTATTACCCTTGATGCAATGCAGCACAAGGAAGATTATACAGTTTTTAAAGGCATTATATTTCTCCAGATTATTATGTGTAAAAGCACGTACAAAATTTAGTAAAATACTTATTTTTGTCTCACAAAATAAATATGACAAGATTATACAGTTTTTAAAGGCATTATGAATACAATACAAAATGACACTACATTTTTAGTAAAATGTTTTTTTTTTGTCTCACAAAATAAATATGAGACTTCTTACACTTTTCCTAAAGAACGTTTGCTAATTCTCTACAAATACTCAGGTAACCAGAGACACACAGTAACTTCTAACAAAGCGAAACGTCCCTAAAGGACCAGAACTCGTCTTTATCCTTGTGTCGTAAACATGATTTTCTAAAATAAAATCTCTTTCTAATTGCTCTGTTTCAGGGTTCTCTGAGGACTCGCGCTAAACGACAGCAATTTGCAACCTGCGCGGAAATGCTCTGCAGCGCTCTGCTCTCCTCACCGCCCGGAGAGAGCCGAGCAAACTGAAGAGAGAGGCGACAGCTCCACCATGTGGAGTTCTGAAGCAAGCACTGCATGGGAAATTAAAATTATTAGGTTAAAAAAAGTAAATATAGACATTTCGTTAATTTCTGTATCAACAGGAAATATTTTGAAAATCCTTGCAGTTTTGATCCGACTTCACTTATAGGAAGTGTGTTCTCATTTAATCAATTTTAATAATAACATCTCCTGAATTATTCATTTTAATTAATAATTCAAATCGCAATCTGCTTTAGACTTAATGAGTTTTCCTTTTGGGAGATCAAGGTTTGGAACTTCACAATTCTTTTTCCTCTGTTCAGAATAAACAGACTGGGACATGACTTTATTAGAGCATGCGATGCTGCACTTCACCACTGGGTGTTGCTATTCCATATAAAGTGTTGATATTTGGCGTTTTTCTCAAAATATTTGATTGAATTCAACCTGCTTGTATGTCGATCAAAAAACACTTTAACTGTTGTTTTTCCATCCATGTGTTACGATCCCCAGGCTCCAGAAACTCCCCAGACTTAATCCATAAAATCCCTGGACACACTTCTTTATGAGTAAACTTAATGAGTATAATTATAAAGATTGTGATTTTGACCCCTGCAGCTGCAAAGAAATGAGATGCCAAAACAAATACTGAGAACTTTTAGGCTGTTGTTAAAAGTCTTAATTACTTATTGATTACTTCTGTAAACAGAAATTCAAAATTCAAGCACATTGGTCACGCCAGATAATCTGCATTTAAAATGTGACACTGGTTATTCCTCCAGATGAACCCTTTTAATAGTAATACAGTGTCTTAGCGTTCGTAATATCAGCACACGGTGGCAGCAGTGAGAGCAGAGTTACAAAGATTTGGACGTTATTGTAACAAGCTGACCTGAAAAACTCCATTAAACATAAGGTTATTTAAAGGAACAAACTGAACCAGAACGCTGAATCTTGATTGGTCAGATGGATTCTGCTGAATTAACGTAATTGACGTGATTATATGGGTTTGGTTTTGCTTTAAAACTGGTGTAAAATGTACAAAATCCGACGTCCACAACTGGTCATGTTAGCTCAATAATACCACACACACACACACACACACACACACCTGCATACAGGATTATGCTGCAGTGAAGTGAACCTGCCCCCTGTCTGTGGTGTAGAGTATGTACTTGTTGACAGCTGGGATTAAAAGGTGTTTTGAGGACACTAATCCCTCATCAACTTGGCTGCACATGAGCTCTGCAACCAGAAGAGTTAAACACACACACACACACTGTCGTATCTCTAAAGTGCTACGACGATGTCTGCCGCCTCTCCTTTTGTTACCGTCCGACTCCAGACTGATTACCTGGTCATTACACAAAAGGCATCGAGCAGCGTCTACTCCACTTCCACACCGTCCCATCTTTCTCTTTCTCTCCCTTCACCTTCCTCCTCATTCCTCTACCATATCTCCCTTCACCATCTGTCCCCCGGCTCTGCTCTGTGCAGCGCTGACCCCTGGGCAGCCCCAGAGACCACTTCAACTACACTGTAACTGCTGCAGTGCTCCGCGGTCGATACGCCACAGACTCTACACCAGACGCACTCGCAGCTGTCACGTGTGCTTTCGTGTCACAATCGATAGGATCTGTGTCCAACCGCTGCAGTACTAGAGCAAAGGTGACTGGATGTCCTGAGAAGTCAATTTGACCACAACCAAGAATGGATCTGTCCAATATTTTCTTGATTGTAAAAAGGACATGGACACGCAGCTTTTTAGCAGCTTTGTGTGGATTCAGTGTTCTTATACTATGTTCTTCTACCAGTTTCAAGATAGTGGTGAGATCTGATATGATGTTTTAATAAAGCAGCTACGATTAAAAGCTGAGTTTGAGGGGACAAAGTTGAAGACGCTGAGACTTTTCTTGGGAGGTGTCCATATGGACAGGATCAGTAATGAGCAGATGGATTTGAATAGGGTTAATGGTTTAATGTGGACTGGTCACCAACTGTATCTGTTCTATATTCACCAACTACGTGTGACGGGACAGGCAGAACAATTACATTTACGTCCACTAGGTGTGGCATCACGTGGCTATGAAAAAAAAAGAGTTCTTAGAGAAGATCTACCTGTGTGTCTTTCTTCAATTCCTGCAAGAATATTAGTGTTGTGTTCACAAAGTAGCAGTTAGCATGCCTGCCTTGCAAGCAGATGGTCCAGGGTTCGATTCCTAGAGGAGCCACATATCCCTAACGGAAGAATTCTACACACATACGAAGATCCGTAGCAAACATTAGATTCTGACAACATGCACATAGACACATATATTCACACCGTCTCTACTCCACATATGCGTCCAAAAAGACACACATTACTCACAATCACTACATGTGGGTGGTTTCCCCGGCGTTGTGAAACATCTTGCATCCCACATGCTTATATAACTCCCTCTCCACCTCCTCCTCCAGCTGATCGCTCATCACTCTGGTGTCCAACGGGAAGCGACAACATCCCTGCTTTATCTCTGTCTTTTTAAAGAATCTGTAGCTTCTCTGGTCTGATTCAGGTTTACAACGAGAATCGAAGCAGCAGCAGAGTAACGTCAGACTACGTCTGAGGTGAAGGGGTGACGAAACACCCGACACTTCCTTTGGTACAGTGACACAGAGGTCAAACCTCAGGGCCTGTTGTCAAGCACCACTGATATTTACAGATGGAAACAAATCAGAAACGAATCCGCAGACACACACTGCAGTATTTGAACAACGCAGAATAAAATGTCCACTCAGTTTGGTGCAGAAGTACGATGAATAGTTAATTAATCATTAAACTTTTAATGTTTGTTTATTTTGACCACTTCAATTTGTCTACTTCTTTTTTCTTCTTCTAATCATTCTTTATTTGACCACTTCAATTTGTCTACTTCTTCTTTTTTCTTCTTCTAATCCTTCTTTATTTTTAGTCTTCTACTGCTTTTTTTCCTTTCTCTTCTTTTGCTTCTTTTATTTTCTCCTCATTCATATATTTCTAATCCACACTGTTCACTGTTGATTTTCAGTTCCCTCATTTGTCTTTTTTTTCCTTTTGACTCGTACTTCTTTTTTCTTCTTTGTCATTGTTATAATCCTCTTCTGATTATTATTATTATTATTATTATTTTTCTTCTCCTTCAGTGAAATATAGATCTCAGATCTCTCTGTCGGCAGTAAAGGTCTTTATAAATACAATACCTTTAACAAACAAAACAAACTGAAAACAAGTCATATTTTGCAGCTACAGTATAATGTGACGTGGCAATGACCTTTAGTGACCTTTTGCTGTCCTCTGCGTCCGTCCTACGGAGCGAACGTTCAAGCGCATGTTTGGAAAAATGCCAGAGGGTAGAACGCTCGTGCACGCGCTACGCTGATGTATTTGCCTCAACTATGTACGTATACTACAGTGAAGTACACACACATTCACCGCATCACTGAGGTGAAAAATGAGGGGAGGAACCAGGGAGCTCCAAACGGCCCCAGATGAGGCTCCACGGTGTTTTATCACAGAGGGTAAATGCACGGCTATAACCTTCGTTTGGTTTCTCTGTGACTTTAGGTGAAGGAGACACTATTTTAGAACAACTTATTTTTTTCTTGTTGTTTAATACGTGTTGGATAATAAATGAAATGACTTGTTATCAGGTTAATTTAAACCAAAAAGTTCCACACTCTCTCCAACAGCTGGGTTATTTGTGTTATTTTCTTAGGAAGTGTCCTCGTAGTAAATAGAGCATCTGCTGAGACTATTCTAAGGCACAGAGAGAGTTCTGTGACTGTAAGCACTTTGGCTACAGAACAGTGTAGGTGTAGGTAAGACCACTTTAAAGACGGAGCCACAATATACCTTTGTTCTCACTGTATGATGCAAGAAATTTTCACTTAGTGCAAAAGAAGGTCTTAATAACAAGGACACAGTGACCTCAAAGTGTCAGAATTAACCCTGAAACCTCCATCATGGAGGCTTTCCATTTCTCTGTAAAATTTCCCCAGACCTTACTGTCAATTTATTTTCATTTTTCCCTAATATTCAGCTACATTTCTGGCTTAATCTTAGCAGTTGTCGTTGGTCCATTCAGTAATGTTGTTTTCAAATATTTCTGCCCACTTCCTCCTCGAAATATCCAAACTATTTGTATCTTTTTTATATTTATTCTTTGATTTGATTTGGAGCATTTAAGCCATTTGTGCCAAATACATCCCACATGGTTTGCTATTTTTCCCCAATCCTGAAACAATTTCTCTAATGACAAAGAACAGAGGCTTCAGTTTATGTCGATTGAGTGGATTTAAAAAAGACTTTGTGTTTGCAGAAAATAGTCAAAATAATGGACTCACGTTGATGAGCTCGATCTCCCATATCTTCTTGACGAGCTCCATGGATGTGTAGCCGTTGATAAGGAACGACTTCGTGTAATCTCCGAGCTCCAGAGACTCCAGCCACTCAGCCACCGATGTGGGGTTGTTCCCGTCGTAGCCGACTGGTCGAACCTGTGGTGGAGAGAAGGTGGAAAGATAAGATGTCTTCACCAGAGATCCATATCTGTACCCAGTGTAAGTGTAAGGTGTCAGCTATGTAGCAATTAGCTAAGAGCTATATAAGAAAACAACATATAGTAAACACATATCTCAAAGCGAGCTAGCTAGCCACAAATAAGTAGCAAGGTGACATAAGATTGAGCCTATTAGGCACCAAAGAGACTAACTGTAGATCAGAAATAGCCAACAGTTAGCTAGCCTGGCTAAAAAAATTCACTACTACTGAAAAATAACAGAAGGTTGGCATAGAATGGGTTTAAACTGACCCTTTAGTCCTTATGTTTAAAATATGTGTAAAGTCAAGCAGAAAATGAGCTATGAGGTCAGAAATTAAGTAAATGTAACGCAGCTAGCTGAAATATGTACACCAAAGGTAACCACTTCAATAGCTATAGGCTAACCACAGAAGAATTGGGCAGGGCAGAAAAAACAAAATATGGGCTGCAGTTAAAATATTCCAAAAAACCTATGCTGTGCCAAAAAGTCTTCATTTTTAGAATATGAGAAAAAATAAATTCCCCATATTAGCTCCCACATATCTTAAATGAAGCTAAATATATCTAAAAGCTAGCCCTACTGAGCAGATACAAAGCTAATGATATCTAAAAGCTAGCCTGAAAATACCCAATTTTGGCCGTGTTGTACTTTTTCTTTTCCTGATTCTGCAGCAAAATCCTCATGTCCACAATACATTTTTAATCAGGCCTTACGGAGTTCAGC